TCAAACCCTCCACCTTCACAGGTCATGACAATGTCCTTCTCTATCCCACGATAGATACGCAAGGGCACATCAGACTTCATTAGGTCTCAGAACCACATGACTACTAAGATCTGGACTTTAAAAAAAATTTGTTTCAATCATACAAAACCTACCTTCTGATCCTCCCACTCCAATTGAGAATAAAAGAAAAACAAAACCTATTATAAACATGATTAGTCAGTCAAAACAAATTTCCACGTTGGCCCTATCACACAGAGACAGACAGAGACAGACAGACAGAGAATATCTCATCCTGCATTCTAATCCTCTATCATGAGGTGGGCAGCATGTTTCATCATTAGCCCTGGTATCATGTTTCCCCCTTGCTAGAAATCATTGTCAAGGAGATTGCTTCAGCTTTGGTACTTAACACCACCTCAATTGCCTCTCCACCATGACTGGAGGGCTGGAGGATGGAGCAAAAGACTTTTCCCAAAGCTTCCCTTTACCGAGTGCTCAGAATTTTACAATAAGCAGCTCTCCTTGGTTTTGACTCTAGGAAACATCATGCCTCAAGAGTCAGGTAACCTCTAATGCCCCTCCCCCCTTTTCAGCTTCCTTTTGTATATTGTCTTCCCCCATTAGAACGTAGAAGGCATGGACTGTCTTTCTCTTTCTAAATTGTATCCCCAGAACTTGGCACAGTGCCCGGCACATAGTAGGCATTTCTTGATTTTACTGTATTGTTTGTTGACTTTATGAAGCTTATGACCTGCCAGTTCCATAGGCATGGAACTAAAATTGAGATAAATTTTAGTCAGAAGGGAGCTAAAGAGAGAAAATGAAAGCCAACAGCTGACAAAGGACCAGAATTCAAGTCTCAAATCTTAGTAAACTATAAAACTGTGAACCTTTTCAACCTTCCACAAAGTTCCCTTATAGTACTTCATAGTAAAGGCTTTTCACACTGAGATAATTCAAAGCTGGGGTGATGCAAATTTGTGTTTTTCTCCCTATGAAAGACATGAGATTTGAGTAATGTAGGAAGAATGACAAAGTCATGGCACCTTGAAACCTGAAGGGCACATGAGTGAGTGAATAAACCAAGACCTAGGCTTGCCACTTGAGAGAAAATCTTATGGTGATGGCATGAAGGTACCACACAAAGTAAAAAGGGAATAAGCCTCTCTTTGTGTCCCTATTTGCCGTCAGCTCAAAGAGAGTAAGACATCTGCAAATTTGTAACACTAAATTAATTTTTGAAGGGCACAGTGATTTTTCCCCCACTTTATACAGAGTAGGGCCAAAGCTTGAATACTAAGCTAATGCCTACAAGCAACCTTTCTAAAGCACAAAACATAGAAAATAACACTTTGAAAACTGCTCTGTCTTTCTGGTTGTGAAGTTAGGCAACCTATAAAAAAAAATCTCATTTTGTGTTTTAAACACATAACCAATGCATGCTGCCAAAATTTTCTTTTCTTTTTTCTATATTTCTAGAGGTAGTCTCCTCCAGATTCAGCAACACATATCTTAGTGAAAAGACTGGGTCAAAATATTTGTAGAGATGGAAAGGAAGAAGGAAAGAAATTCACACATTTATCTACTCCTAATGACAACTCCCTATAATATCATTCTTTTATATTCTTATTCTACTTATCTTTTCATTTTTCCATTCCAAAGATTTCTCACCTCAGATTTTTGTCAAGACAATAAATATTAATGTTATCTTCAAACCAAGACAAGGAAATAAACATGCTCTTCAAAATAACCAATCTAGCTACAAATGTAAGTTAAGTACTTTTATTCTCATTTTCCCTGTTTGTTTGTTTTGTTTTGTTTTGTTTTGTTTTGTTTTGTTTTGTTACAGAACTGTAATTTCAAATGGAGGAAATGCCAGTTCCAGTGTGATATTTTTGTGGAAATTCTTACTGGCTTAGTATAAAAAGACTTTAGTATAAAGATCTGAAAACTATATTAATAATTAAACTTCATTAAAATCTTCCCTTTAAATTAGAGTACACTTCCTTAGTTATATTATGCTTTCAAGTTCAATTTTGGGTGTGTAGAGACATGTTCACCTGTAGAAAAAAATCGTTCACTACCTCTTCAAAATTTAAATTTGCCTTAGTAATTAGCTTACCCTTCAATATGACTCACTCATGGAAAGTCCTCCCTCTTTATATTCAACTAGCAGCATAACATATTAGAGCTGGAGGAAACCTTGGAGACCACCTAGTCAAAATCCCTTTATGGCCAATGGCTGAGCCAGGAACAGATGCTCGATTTCCAGTCCAATTTTTTCCCCACCACTACACTAATCTATCTTCAGACACATAAAGGAATTGACTTACAGGATGATATATCATAAAATTAAAGAAAATAATAACACAACCTTCTAAGAGCATTAAGCCAACACCCTGCCCCTTTCTCCTATCAGCTTCAAAACCCCATCTCATCACCCAGAACATTACATCATATTTGCCAATTCTAGAAGAATGTTTTCTGGGCAGAATCATTACTTTTATTCATGCTAAGCCTTTTGAAACTTAATAAATTGTGATTCCAAATAACTTCTTAAAACATAGCTAAGAAACTTGTTTGAGAAATCTCTAGTAAAAGACCAGGAAGAAATCTCAGTGAATGGAAATACAAATAGGACTCCTTCACCCAAAGCTGGTTTTATACCATGTTGATAATTGGATCTAGCAATTAATAATGAAGAATTCAGTAATAGTGAGAAAAATGTGTTCAGAAAATTTAATAAAGAAATTATTGGAAATTTCTCAAATTTTTATTAATAAGGGGAAAGCATATCATTGAATCAGTAATTTATACCACAAAAATTTTAAAAGTAATAGAAAAAGAAGTATTCACATAACTCATTTCAAAACCAAAACTGAACTACATTAACATCAGTGTAATAGCTTAATTAATACATAATGTTGCAAGATAATACTAACAAAACTGGAATATTTTCAACCAAGAAGAATATAGTTCTCTTTGTCAGCATGACAGATTTTTTTTTCAATAATACTAATATATGTCACAATTTCTAAGAGGGAACATAATAGCCACAGTAAGTTTAAAATTAATGACTCTAACAGAAGTGTGGAGGGAAAGACAGTTGAGTGGTGATACATCATGCTTGAAAATTCAAAGACTTTGCAAAAACCCAAGGACAGTAGGCGCTGTGACTCATTGATAGGAAAAACTGAAGGAGCTTCTACTAAAGGACATAAGACACAACAAGGTGAGTAGAATCCAAGAACATGTCTCTCCCAAGGCTTTGAGGTGCAGGGCTCCATAGTATAGAATCCTGTATGTATGTGAAGCAAGTGTTCTACATGATTCACAAATCCAACAAAAAAGCAACACCAATCCACTAGACTCCCTATCCTGCTACCTCTCTGGCTGTTAGTAAGAGTAATGACATGGAGAAACACCAACATATCCTGTTCTTCTCTCATCTCTATAAAGTAGTTTCTAGGTCAAAACATGATTTATTTCAGTTCTGTGGCATCCCTGAGCACACAAGTAATGAGCATAGCTCACAGAGCCTCAAACAAGCAACTGCCACTAAGATCTGAAATAAACAAATTAAAGGAAACAACGAAAAGAGGAACAAAGTAGATGGTACTAAATAACCAATAATGATGCAAACTCAAAAAGAAAAAGTCTAACACTTGTAATATTTGCTGTCTATGTGCTACCATTCCATCTAAACAATATTATTATTACAGCTGATATCAGATAACATGGCACAACAGACAGAGAAGTGGCCTCTGGGGAATCCAGGCCCCATCTCTGATATATCTTGGCCATGGGACTTTAGGGAAGTAAAACAACCATCTCAGACCTCAAGTTACTAACCTGACTTAATAGAAGAGTTTCCTTCCCAGGTAATTCCCCATCCTATATTTCTCAAATCACTGATCTAGTTTCTTTTCCTACTGTAACTGATATGGTGCTTTATGATTTACAAAGTGCTTTGTACACATGGTGATTCAGTCAATTCCTCTTATGCTACCCTATGTCAACATACTCCTAAAATAGAATGGAGTTATGTGTGCCTTGTTTTTCCCTGCATTGCCCCAAATGTACAAATGATATTAAATTAGTTTCGTGTAATAATACACAAAATCCATGCATCTTTCATTTGTGTAAAGGGGACATAGTTATAACCTTAAGAATATAAAAAAGTAGGTTCCCCCAATATGCCCAATGAATAATACTTGAGAGGGTCAAACTTACAAGCATAAATTTTTGTATTTAAAAACATGAAAGCTGATAAAATTCTGGAAATTGTTGCAGAAAAAGCAAAGACCTAAAAATGCAATTACTGTAGACTTCAAGGTAGAAGATAAGAGAAATGGAAAAAAAAATTGTTGCTGCTTTTAGACTTCACCCACAATTTTATTGATGTTCATAACTCCCAATGGAGAAACCAACTTTACCAATTCAAACTGGCACGTGTTCACCAATTTATATCCTTGAGAGTTGCCTGGGGTACTGAGAAGTTATTTGATTTACCCAAGGACATGTCACCAATGTATCAGACATGGCATTGAATCCAGGTCTTCCTGGCTCCCAAACCATTTCTCTCTTCACTATAACCATAATGCCTCCCTAGTAATAGAAATATCACCTACTTAACTTCCCTTAATGGTCTTAAGTAGATTTACAATCTCATCATACAAAAGCAGAAGGGTAAAATTTGTTTTCTGGACATCTATCATATAAAATTCAAACAATGCAAGGTTAACTACAAATCCATTTCTCAGTGAGGTTTTCCTTAAATCTATCACTGCATGAAATTAAACTCAGCAAAACATCTCTTCCAAAGACAATATGTCGTTCTAAAACAGATGGAATCTTTCCATCCCATGGTTCTGATGATCACTATGGCTGGCAGCAAGGCTAGCCTCACAAATAAGTGTATTACCTTTGGCAGCCAATTGGTGATATATTATTTGCAAGTCAATAGTAAAATGGAAATTCTGAATTCATTAGTACTTTACTGGGTCATCATACACATTATGAGAAAAAGCTAAAAGAAGAGGGCAAAAGATAAAAGCAGAAGAAGGGAGGATTAGAGAGTAGGAAAGAAGAAGAAAAAAATACAATAGAAAGGATATGAGAGTATAGCAGTTATAGAACACATAAGGGAAGTATATTAATAGCTTCTTGCCAGAGAGCTCTGGAAAGTTAAAGAAATCTTCCAAAAATGGACCAAAACTTTCCATACAATACTGAGCCACTTCGGAAACCTGATACCCTATGGATAATGCAATGATTTAGCTTGCTTCACAAATGGTACGATTTGCTGTAAGAATCAATGGAAAAGCAGGTAGCAAGTGAACCTCTGCTAAAAGTTATTTTAGTTAGGAGGGTGGTAAAGGGTTATTCATGGATAGGATTAACTTTATGTCTCTATTTCTAACTAATGGAACTGCCTGATCATCAATAGAAAATGAAGTAGATGCTCTATAGAAATGTCTTTAATCTTGGGCACCAATAACTCTCATATTCCTAGCATGGCATGTAGAGAGAGAGTGGGGTAATAGACTGAGTCAGATTTGGGTTGGAATCCCAGCTTCAATAAGGCTTCCACTAAGCCTATCTGAGGCTTTATTTCCTCATGTATAAAATTGAGATAATTTCTTTACTACCACTCTTATTTTGAGTAAAGTGCTTTGTAAAATGTATAGCACTGTACAAACATGAATTAATGTAATTATTATTATTACAGACTCAAAACATTTTTGATGAGGGAGAGAAAAGTGTAAATAAATGCTACTGAGGCACTCATTTCTTCATGATATCTATTTAATCATAGCTTCTACCATGACCCTCAAGATTACTGACAGCAGTTTGGAATACCTCCAGCCACCATCATCTGAAACAAGTGTCATAAAGTTCTCAAAACAAACAAAAAATATATTCATGTTAATATTAAAATGACCTTATAAGATGCACATGCTTTTCTGTGGGGGCACACGTTAAAGAGAAAAATCAATTAAAAATAAAAACACCACGTTTGAGTGGTAGGAGGCCAGAGGGGAACATAAGTC